CTGGAACAAATTAGATTAAACTGGTTTAAAAATATATTGAACCTGAACTACAACATATATCTGAATCAACTGAAGCACTAATCATTTTTTATATGCAAAGGTGTAATTTCCTTGTACAAGAGTAAAGCACTATTATCATTGTTTAGTAATGATTTCAATTAAAATATTGATACAAAATGATTGAATTCCTTTATCTTTGCAGTTGAATTTGACCGTTTTCTACCAGCCAACTCTCCACTCATGGATGTTGAAGTTATTGTTGGTAGCAGTCAGCTGTTGGCCTTTCTTGTCAGACGGTTTGATAAGCATGTTGCTTCAGAAGACTTTAAATCTTGGGATGCTTTACTGTGGATACAGTCAAAATGGTAAGAAACCATCATGTCAATAATTACCATCTCGCTATTGTACATCATTCACATCTTTACTGTCATCTTGTGTCTCTTTTCAGTATTCCAGTACTATGTGATATCGCAGGTAAGTGAATCATCATCATTGGCATCATCCTAGTCATCATTGGCATTACTCACTCTCCTGACATGTGGCCATCCGTTATCAGTGTTAAGTCAATGCAGCAGAGTTGCTTCTTTTGATCAAAACGTAAAAACAATCATGAAGATGTGTTTTTTTTAGGTCGAATCCACAGCTCATTGATTGATTGTCTACAGAAACTAATGTTATTGTTCCGTACATTGTGCATTACATTTGGACAGCCTTATTCACATAATAGAGTGAGTAACAGACACGCATGCCATGAGCTGTAGTTAATTCATTACTGTAGTTACATGTTGCTGAGGAACCTGAAAGCGTCATTGGTCATGGGTGAGAAGTATCGAAAATGATTGTTTTATCTRGAAGTCTTCAAACCTTTACTTTCTTACTTTGTTTCAGATCAAACCAAGTTGTATTGATAAACTTGATAATGTCAAAGATTGTAAAGGTATTAATGACATCTGTATGTTGTATAAACTCCAATAGGATATCAGGTATTCATGAATGCGTTTCCTTGCAGAAGAACAAGATTCTCACAAGCGGAGTGAAATTCTTTCAAGTGCTTCCATCCCAGTTCTTGCTGTAGGAGTTTTTGGATCTTTTGATGAGGTACTTTTTCTGTATCCAGCTGACAACAATCTTTCAAAAACATGTAGTTAATGGGAGTTTCCGTTTGCAGGAAGACGACAAGGCACAATTAGCCGTTATTTTACGTGATTCMATAATTGCACTTGCGCAAAACTCTCTTCCTTTGCATGGTCCGATACTTATTTACCAGGAACTTAGGTAATAATTTGGACAAGTTGACTTCCATATAACACCAGAAGATATGGTTATAGTAACATTTTAATAGCGACATACACTACATTTAGTCCAGGAACTTATTTACATATATTTTTAAAAGATAATTCAGATGAAAAATAGATTAAATTTMAAAAAACTGTAAGTTTCAGATAACTTGATTGTTTTATTAGTGCCTATTCTKCGTATCATCAACTTCTTATTGGTGTTCTGTGGGAAATCGTTGTTTACCAAGATCCTGTCATACGCTGCTCAACAGGAGAACTGTTTATGGTAAGACATGCTTGTCAGTAAGTAGCCATGAACCAAAAAGTTCTCATTTATGATATTTCTTATAGGTTCTTGTCAAAGGGGTTGATGTTGATACTATAAGTCGTCATGTTATCCCTGCACTAGTAACATTAGCTTCTGATTCACACATGTAAGTCACAGTACTGTTATGCTTCTCCACAGGCAACTCTTTTTTCCTCCTTTGGGCTCCCTTTGTAACGGTCATTTTGGCCGTTAGGGACTAGTGACGTTAGGGACTAGTCCCTCTTKTGACTCCTCAAAAAGACAGGAAGCCCGTGATTTTTAGTGATGCCTTCGGAGGAGGCTATGTTATCCTCAGCTTAGTGCCTTCTTTATTCTTGTCTYCTATTTCTTGATTTTCTCTTTTTYATTTATCTCGTTTTTCGCTTTTTCATTCTTTTATCGTKCCGTTTCAACTGCAGTTCTTCTTTCTCTTRACAATATCGTGTTTTCTTGYACCCAGGTCGGTACGCACTGCGTCTATACCAGCATTTGGTTCMATTTTAGAGAACGTCACAGATAAAGTTGTAAGTTACGTCATTGTTATCATTTGTGTTCCTCTGCAGTGATCCTTTGTAGAGTAAAATACATGTTATTTCTTAGATACTAGACAAAGTGTACATGCAGTTTAAATCATTCATAGAAGACCCACAGTACAGGAACCAGCATGAACTGCAGTTGACTTTGATYCGAACCTTTGGTAAAGTTGGACCGCATTCTGAACCTTTGTTTCGAGATAAAGGTATCTTAAACGACAACTTAACTACATAAAAAAATCATTTTGTTGATGCCTTGTTCTATTCTTTCGATTTACTTCCTGTTTATAAAGATTTCATTTCTGTTTTTTTTTTTCATTCGTTCTTTCCCTTTCCCTTTTTCTCTAYTCTACTGCATTCTACATCTATATGCTTTTGTTGAAGTGGTTCTAAAAAAGTGTTCTGTTTCCAGTTATTCTCCCCAGACTGGCAGCAATGGCGTATATGAATAATAATTCCGAAAATGACGTCATGCGCAAAGAGATTGCCTTAGAACTMCTCGAAGCCTACGTCTCGCTGACCTGTTGTTGTATCCTTTAGTTACATGGAGGGGGAGGGTAGGAGRRGGRRGGTTTGAAAACAAAGATGTCTCCAGAATATTTGTAAATTCTCTGTTGTTATTCTTAACAATTATTCAGTCATTGTTGCTGATATATTAAGTGAGCACGTTATTCCTGGTCTGCGGTGTGTCCAAGAAGACATATCTACCGTTGCACCTGAATATGAGGTATTAACTTGCGATTACAAATTGACAAACCCTATACACCCTTTTAATAAGTCCCGAGGTATTACGTTCTCCGCACTTGACGTCAAATTTATTCTTTTGAATTCCTTTTGTATTGCAAAAATTTCAAAAGAATAAATTTGACGTCAAGTGCGGAGAACACAATACCTCGGGACTTATTAAAAGGGTGTATATAAAGACGTACCTATTTCAGCTTATAGAGGGAGGCGCTACTCCTTCATATTTCTGGTAGGGAGGATACCGGTTTTCACTGATTCCGTGTAAAACTAAATTCAGATGGATTTATTGGATATGACTATATTATTGTGTTGTCCAGGAAACTGTATCAGTTTTACTCAAAGAATGCGAGAYAAAGCTTGAAGAGAAAACAGAGTAAGTCTTCTCCCTGCTAAATATTTCTTGTAATACATTATGTATATCACTTGATTTGCTCACATTTCAAGAATTTGTCAAAAATATTATCCATATTAATGATCCTGGTGGTTGCTTTCAGTATGCCGACTGGRGGACAGTCAAACCTTGGGCGGGACCTCAAGAGTACATTTATGAGTGGATTCAACAAACTCATGGACACGTCGGCCAGACCCAAAATGTCCGATATTTTTAAACGTAAAGAAAGAACAGATTCAATGAAATCAATGTGATGCAAATACCGTATGTTTTAAYCCGGCAATCAAATTGAATCTTAAAGCATCACTTTTTTCCTGGTATCCAGGTATTCACTAATGTTCATCAAACTGACAAAGGATATCAATATGTCTACTGACATTCCATACTTGAATCGCAAAAATACACATGAATTGTCTTTCTGTAAGAATAGATAMCTGCTTAGTCAAATATCAGTATTTCAACTAAAGAGTTCGGATGTTTTCGATACGATTTCGGACGTTTTCGTTGAACGAATCAATCCCGAAGTAGCGAACATTAACAATACAAATTAAAATAGAGTGTTCAAGAATTACACAGTTTTATACAGATATATAAAATTAGTTTTATGGGTAAAGGAGGAAAAAAAACTCAAACAAAATATGAATAAAATACAAAGAAATAATAAAATGAGATAAAGTTACTGAATCTAGTGATATAGGAATAATATGGGGGTAGAATTTATTTTAAATGCAATTCAATAAGAATGGTTAGGGTTCGACCCATGCCTATAATACATGTATTTGTTGTGGGTTGTTGATACTCGACCTCTGTAAAGGACCTCGTCGTAATTTGGATTCCATCTTTCATCTAGATGTTCAAGGTAGATTAGGTATGATTAAAAACGTGTGTTATTATCAGAGAGGCCAGTTTAATTACATTTTCACAACGATATTGTCCATATTGTACTCACTGATATTGCACGAGAGACACAGGCGTGGCTGACAAGATGTCAAATATGACTACATAAAGCAATTCACTTTAAGGTATTACAGAGCTGTCGTTTAGTCAGTCTTATACTACTTGCAAGCTCATACTTTTCTTTTTTGATTATAGAAATATAATGGGTGTGAATCTAGGGAACATATTCAGGCATCAATTTCATCCAAGGTAAGACCATGACAAACAGTCATGTGTTRTATTTGTTGCTCTTTGTCTTAGTCCTCCCTTTCTCCCAAGGTATGGCGGTTTTCCTCAATCGTCAAAAACTARACGCAAAGATTGTGGTATGCCGTAAGGCAATGTTATTAGGACATTTTGTTCGTTTTGCAGTAATAAAACTTCATGTTCACTTTTAAAGGTCTGGTAAAATCAACGAGGTATATTAAAAATAATGTACTCTTGACGGTCGTAAAAAAGGTGTCATATTTTGTGCGGTTTATGAAAGCGTTTCCCCAAAAAACGACTTTTATGGTCATTACAAAATAAATATATGTACATTTTTGATGAATCACATTGTCATTGTTCAATTTTTCCGGATATTGATTCTTAATTAAGCCTCTCCGCCTTCCTATATGAACACTACTACTTCACTTGATTTCATAGTAAAAGGGTTTCTATTTGAGACTGGTCATRATCGTTTTCAGTATATTAAACGCCTTTTTCATATCACTTCTTGCTCTATATTACTCACTCTCGCTAGCTATCAATAATGATGAATCATTCCAAAGCAAACCGAGTCATTGTACACTTCAGTTATCATAGATGCCCTTCTTGTTGTTTGCTGRTTTTCATCCATAGTTTTGGCTTGTAAGGTCAACAACTTGACAACATGACTTAAATGGCGCTGAACGCACGTTATGTAATGATGTGCAATAAAACATTGTTCATTTTCGTCCAAACGGGAAATTTTGAGCTTTTCTTATGGAAATAAAAGTCATAAGATCATAAACAATGCGAAATTATGAAATGTCATATTATTTTGAGTTCATAAAAAAGACCCCAAAAAGTCTCGAGTACAAATGAGATGTTGTCACCTTGCTGTGTGTCAAGATGATATCGGAAACGTTTTTAACTAAGTATGGAGATAACATATGAACCACTTTCTTTRAGAGGTGAAGTTTGAGTGGATGATATCTACTTAATTAGATTTTGTTTCTATCTGTAGTTCGTTCGTTCATGTGCTTTTTATTGTCATAGGCAGAATTTCATCATTGACTGTATTTACCCTGAAGCAATACAGCTGAAGCCCTCAATATATTGACTACAAATACAGGTTTGGTGGTTTTGTACCGATAGTCAATCTGGATACAGTTCTTCTCTATGACAGTAAGTTGAATTATAGTTGTGTAGTTTGTAGCTTTAAATGCTTTTGATTTTAAATGCTTATGATTTATGGATTTGTACATGGCCAGTATACGAACATTAGTCAACAAACAATATCTYGGTAGATACAATCTTGGGGGAGTTTTTCTATTGTTGATTCGGCCAACAGAATATTTGGCTGTAGAAATTGACAGTTTATCGCTATAAGCTACGAATGTGTTATCAATTTGTAATTTCAGGGTTTTTTTCGGAAAAGGACTGTTTGATTTTGGCCAGTTTTGTACTTTCCGCAGGTGCATTGCCTTTGGAATCAATTTCCGTTGCTCATGTTTAGTACATAAAAAAGACGAGTTCGCTTTGCTGCTAGGCTCAGATGTACCCGAATAATACACACCATCCTTCATCCTCAAATTGATTTTTCATTTATTATTATTTGGTTGATATGAAGTGAGTATCAGTCGGCGGGAGAAACATCAATTTCATTTGGATCGTTCTTTTTTTTTAAACAGAATAATCTGTAATCAAAAAACGTGTTATCATATAACCCAATTTTTAATTTGTCTTGAAATTATGGAACTGTCGGAACTGTATGGATAAACAAGTGACTAGATTCGCCAATGCAAAACATTTCGTACCGCTGGATCATTGTCGGGCCGTTTTCGGAAAGTAGTCGGCTTTTAATGTAGGTCATTAGAAGAACATAATGCATCATTATACAAAAGCCTCTGAACAYTGTACAGTCTTTGGGGATACAACCCAAGACACCTTATTCTTGCTTGAACTTGATTATTTCCGATATACACCTACTTGCAGAAACGTTGTCATGAAAATAGAACATTCGAATTTAGCAAAAAGGAATAAATTAAAACAAGTCAAAAGAGAGCGTTCAGCCTCAGTAATCTTCCTTTGTGTTTTTAATTTATTCCTTTTTACTAAAATACAAATGTCCTATTTTTTTATGACAACGTTTTCGCAAGTAGGTGTAACACAGATTGAACCTTACTAGAAAAATGAAGTTTAGGTAAACACTTGTTTTACGTGAAGAATTTGTTGTTATGATTTGTGGCATTCTACCATTTAGGCTGAAGGACCATCATCCGATCAACTCTGAACCGCTGATCAAACAAAACGTTTCATGCAAATAGATAATCAATGATGCCTAGTGATTTGAAAACAGACAAAAGAAAACCTTCACATTTGGCMGTTTGACGGATCTCTTGCAGTAGGAACGGCATGCCAGTACTTTGATTGCTCGTGARTGATTGGTCAGAACTCTGCCAATCCGCTCTTTATTGGCAAAGAAATCTAAAAGGAACCACTTTATTATTGATATGACAATATTCACATGACCTRGAGGATATAGATCTACGTTTTGAAACAATAATGTTGGATGTTTTATCTGAAAGAAATACTCTGTTTGACACGATCAGGACTCAGACATGTCAGACATGTATCAGTATAAGTCCTTATAACAAAGTACAAGGAAAACATTTCATATTTTGATATCGATATTAAGTAAACAAARAAAAGAAAGCGATCTAGTTGTAGCTCTTACCATCATGGACAACTGTAGATTGGATCTTTCAAATGAAATATTAAAAATCAATTTACTTATAATTGCTTCCGGACAGAGTTAAAGTGTATTTAGCTTTGTTCAGTTTGTTTTTGTAACTGGTAGCTCCATTGTATTTATCTGTTTTTCCAATAGAAATTGTATTAAATATTCGTGTTTTGACTTTACATCAGTTAATTAAGGTTACCTCGCGCTGTTTTGTTTTATCAGAGAAACTCAACCTTCATCACACAATGGTAGATCTGTCAACTCCCGAACGTACGGTGAGAATGATAATTGTTTTTTGTCCAAATACTTAAAGGTGCAAGTTGTTATTTGATGTTTTTATTCGAGACAGGTACTTGAATTGTAAAATGTAGATGATTCCCGCCAAATATTATCATTACATTAGCACGAAATCGTCGATGGATGTGACGTCTAAAGTTTTTTAAATGCGTCAAAAGCGTTTTCACTTGTAAGATTAATTTTTGTCTTATGAGACTTTCCTCTCAGTGATGTTTGTTTATCCTATATATTCTTTTATTCTTTTTCTAATGAATTGTACGAATTTGAAAGACATTGCACTGGGTACCAGCGGTTAGAATTTTATCTTTTCTCATAGTATCGTTTATAGTTTCGTTTAAGACGAGAACGTTTGGTTTATCGCGTCTGTGTTACTGGTTCAAGATTTATTGTACACTTGGYACCGTAAATACTRAAGGGTGAMTTCCAACATCTGCATAGCGTCCAGGGAACAGAACCAGATGGCTTATAACATGAGATGCTTTTTTTAGGATAGTTAATGTTTTATATGATTCTAGACGATACTTGACTATTTTGCATTAATTTAGTATATTAGATGTTTACAGTATATTTACCGCATAAAGTTAATTATTAATTACATGACTACCCAACTTCGTTATTAATCGCCATTTTTTGTCAACTTTTTTTCTAACTGCCATCTTTGTTTTTTTCTTATCGCCATCTTTGTGTGTTTTTTTTTTCTAACCGCCCTCTTTGTTTCTAGTCCRCCATTTTAAGATTTATTGCCTGGCTTGCACTATTTGTTGAAACATTTTTTTTTGTCAATGATAATCATTCTCCTTGGCAGCCGTTGCACCATGTCCCRTCTGCACAGGAGACTGACTTCGCATGTGAATGATATCATGTTTACTGACAATGAATACATAAAGAACAATGCACACAGTTTAGTCGATCAGAAATGCCTCCCAGCAGTCAATTGAATTACTGATAGACATCCAAGAAAGCCATTTTCTCGTTGATTTCCTGTTTTTGATAATTAAGAATAAGATATCTTACCCAAGATTCCTGATTATTCACATGAAATCCTGAGAATTTCATTGATAAAAGAGTAAACACTGTTTGTTGACTAATGAATTKCACTGACAGGAAAATAACTCGGAATATTGACAAAACACGGCAGGCGAAATTTCCTGTACTCTGGCAGTTCTCAATAACTGACCGATGTCTAGAATAATGGCTGGTAATGTGTGATTTCACTTGACTAGTTTCACACGTTACGGAAGCAACTTTAATTCTAGAACTTTCCAAATCATATTTTTTCTTAGACAAACTGACCGGCAAAGAATTGGGGTTTTTCTACACYAAGTAGACTGACGGTTATTCTGCAATGTTCTAGCACGTAAACTCTCTTAATCAAACAATTTTTCTTTTTACACGTAGTGGTCCCATTAATTAAATATGGTAATTCTAATTTACACTATATATTTAGCACAAACAAGGAATATTTAGTGATAGATTTGATAAACACAATTATTTATTCAAGGGAAGTTATGGGCTTTTTTGAGCTTCAAGCTATAATTATTTTAAATACCATCTGCACGAATTCTCAGTGGTGATATGACTGACTGGATTGTTATTTGCCTATTCTGATTCCATTGACAACGATTTGCTGCTAAGAAAAGGACATCTGATGCTAACATGATTCCTGTATACATCGATTGGCGTTATTCGCRTTGATTTTTCATACGTTTAGGCGTGAGTGATCACTATTTGTTGGTAAGAAGTTTTTTTTTTGATTGAGTAATTAAAATGTAAACCAGGCATGACATTTTAGTATTATTAAAATACATTGTATCAAGCAGTCACCGCAAAAGGATTATTACTCGCAAAGTATATGCATATATACGTACTACAGATCATCTTGATGTGATCATCGTGTTTAGTTTATATCAAAATGGATGGAGCTATATATACATGTAAATTGTGATTGTTGACACCACATATATATTTTGAACGAYGCAGAACTAGACCGTTGTTATATTATTCAAAGATTCAGTCCAGTTTTTGTCTACAGTCGATATAGATGCAGTAGATCAATATAYGCCTAAATAAATTAGTGTTGTTGGGTCGCAAAAAGGTAATATCGTTTTAGCTAAAAAAGAGGGGGATTTTCCAACTCAAAAATTCGAACCATATTTTGCTAAACATGTTCAATTATAGCGTTTCTTGTAGAGAAAATCATTTTATTCGGTACAGTCAATATTTTGGCTTGGAAAGACTGTTTGTTTCTATGGTGCCTTTCGGTTGGTGTTTAATGACCAAACATTCATTTTACATTCTGAGTTTCATTGATTTTTTGAAATTCTCATCATCTTATGTATAAACATGACCTGAAAGTCGACGTCCTTCGTAAAACCTAAAACCTTGGTTAAAAATCCCGGGGGGGTACTCGACCAAGTTTTGGATAGGTACGTGCCTCCAGCGGTCTAATTCCCTGACCCTGTTTAAGACACTAAAAAVTAAAAATCCATACCCTGTTCAAGACAAATCGGAAAAATAAGGAATAGCTATCTACGCCGCAACCATCAAAACTGCAAATATACTGACATCCATCAAAGACAATAAGAAGTTTTTGATAACACGTTAATTCTGGGACAGTGAAACGGTATTTCTACTATTTCTACGGTGTTATGATAATATTACCCTGTCCAAGACACACAAAAGAATTATATCGGTCTTTTATCTAAATTGTAGAGCCTGTTTAAGACAATTTCGGGTGAAATGTATACCCTGTTTAAGACAGCAAGGCCAAAAACCATACCCTGGCCAGCGGCACGTCCCCGTATAGCAAATATATGGGAGTACCCCCCCGGGCACAAAGGCCTGGTATGAGACATTGTTTAGCAATTTTCTTGCGAAAAATGAAATATTTTCAAAAACCAATTACACAGCGATTGTTACCTAATCATAATTTCGACAAAAAAAACTATGAAATGAAAATATTGAACTTGAAATTTTGAATTTAATAATTTAAATGCATCCGTAACACCTTTAACGATATCGACTTAACAATTCGCAGTCGGTTTTCCATTAACTGTACTCATATTGACAATGAAATTGACGTCAAAAATGCTCAAAACTCAAGTGGAATTACGAGGCACGAGCGTAAGCGAGTTTTGAGTTTTGAGCATTTTTGACGTCAATTTCATTGTCAATATGAGTACGGACAATCAAAACTTCTTAGTTTGAAGTGATGATACTTTCACTTTGAATGCTGACCGTTAAAATTTATATTTTGAGTTCTTACTTGTTGTAGTGTCTTCCGTGCATCGATATTTTACGAAGGATAAAGTTTATATGAATC